CACTTGTGATACATCCATGATAATTGTGCTGTTCCTTAATCTGTGCTTGGGGTGAACAGGCCAAATCTAGCCAATGCAAGCAGAAATATCCCTGCAAAGTCTGCATTTATAGCCTTCATCATTGCCACCCACTAGCTTTAGTCATCATGATGTACATCCACACGTTAGGCTTCCTTGTTCACTCACAGTGGGCAGGTGTCTCCCTAGCCAAACCAGGTTCTTCCTCATTACCACTGATTATGTTCCATCACCACTTCTTTCTCTATTGCTTATCTAGGAGGAGCTATGGGGAGTGCTATGTTTTGGGAGATAGAAAATTAGTTGAGCAGACATATCAATGCATTGCCCAGGAACCAAGGTAGAAATTCCCTTCTCTGATACTCAGGTAGATGTTAGTAAGCACATTCTTTTTTGGTATCTCTGCTCCAGTGAGGATTTTTACTACAAATCACCTAAGAAGCAGACACTCAGACTGGGAGTCTGAAACTGGTCCACCAACTTGTAAGACAATGATACTTGAGGAGGTGGTAATCCCATTCATGTTGCATTACATTTACCTAATACAGAGGTCAGCAAACTGTGGTCAATAGGCCAAATTTATCTCAATGGCTACTTTAGTAAATAAAGTTTTATTCAGAACACAACCACATCCACTTGTTAGATATTGTCTGTGGATGCTCTAGTTGTGACAGAAACCTATGGTATGCAAATCCTAAAATATTACTATTTGATGCTTTTTTTTTTTTAAAGATAAAGTCTCGCTATATTGCCCATGCTGGAGTGCAGTGGCTATTCACAGGTGCAATTATAGCACACTATAGCTTCCATCTCCAGGTCTTAAAGGATCCTCCTGCCTCAGCCTTTGGAGTCACTGCAACTACAGATGTGACTCAGTAGGCCTAGTTATTTTGCCTTTTATGAAAAAGTTTGCATAGATAAGGACTATGGTAGGGTAAGTGGAGAATGGAAAGAAGGAGAACTCCCTCTGTCCTCACAAAGCCCAGCTTCCTCAGGTATTTCCCTACCTCACCTATCATTTTCCTATTACACACTTTATTTATTTCTTTCCTCCACAAACAGGTCTATGCAATCACTTTATTTTCTGACTAAGTAGATTCCTTTGAAACTGGGCCAATTTGCTAATTTCTGTAGAAGGGGGATATCTATGTTAAAATACTGTCTGTGTGCTAGGGATGTGCAAGAGTTTGAGCAAAATGCTAATGAGCATCTTTAGATAATGCAATTAATTAAGGATTAGTCATTTTTATCTTTAATTATCCTTATTTTCTAATTATTTTATTACAAAATGTACATAATGTTAGAATGGAGACTGGGCCTGCAAAATCCCTGAGCAAACAAAATCACCCAGGCCTTAAAACTATCCTTAACGTTGCTTCTACTAGAAACATAAGTAAAAAATAACAGGTCATTTCTGGTTAATGCTTATGTTAGAAACAAAGCTTAAACTCAGCCCATTGAAGACATTAAAACATGCTTTACTGGCCTACTGAAAGTTTAAAGCAAAGACACTTAAAAAAACAGCTGGTTTTGATCTTCATACTGTTTTTTAAAAGCAGAAGATGAAATTCCCGTGTGAAAGATATTCTCTCTATACTAGAAGGAAAGGCAACATCTTTAGCCCCATGGATGAGAAGTTGAAACAAACAGAATTCTGTACAGACATTGTAAATAGCTTTTATCTTTTAAGCTTCCCCAAATATTAATAATTTAGCTATTTCTAACTGCTCTTTGTCCAATCCACTATATAAGTAACTAACTATAGGGGCTTCTTTGAGTCTTCATTTCTTTATGAGGGCTCTCATGTCATATAAAACTCATATTATGCTTTTCTCCTGTTACTCTATCTTATATTAATTTAATTCCCGCACTGAGCTGGGATCTAAGAGGATAGACATGGGGGTTTTCTGCTTTTACTCAATCATAAACAGCAACCTAAAATATGACTGTTTGACTAGGGAATTTCCAACAAGGTAAATTTTTTAAAAATGCAATTTTGTAACTGCCATTTTCTTTATTTTGCTTCCATAACTGCTCTGTAAATACTTGCCTTTGACACTTTGTCATTGTAAACACTAAACCTCTTTGGGTTTGGTGGGTCCCAATTCACGAGTTTTTCTTCCTCAAGTAAAATCTTCAAAAATGTAGTGCACCCCAAATTTATATTTACACATATATGTGTATATACATACATGTATGTATATGTGTGTGTGTACATAAGAATACATACATACAGGCATTCCTCATTTTATTACAGTACACTTTACTGCACTTTACAGATACTTTATCTTTATACTGTATCTTATATGAACTGCATCCCTATAAGAGAGCAAACTTGAAAAATGTGTGCATTCTGACTGTTCTTCCTACTGGCTTTCCCTCTCCTTGGGCCTCCATGTTCCCTGAGATACAACAATATTGAAATTAGGACAATTAATAATCCTACAATTACCCCTGTGTTCAAGTGAAAGGAAAGGTCACAAACCTCTTGCTTTAAACTAAAAGCTAGAAATGATTACACTTACTGAGGAAGGCATGCTGAAAGCTGATATAGGCCTCATGTGCCAGTTAGCCAAGTTACGAATGCAAAAGAAAAATTCTTGAAGGAAATTAAAAGCGCAGCTTCGATGATCACAGGAATGATGAGAAAGTGAAATAGCCTAACTACTAATACAGAGAGTGTTTTAGTGGTCTTGATAGATCAAACCAGCCACAACATTCTCCTAAGCCAAACTCTAAGCCAGAGCAAGATCATTGCTTTCTTCAATTCTATGAAGGCTGAGAGAGATGACAAAGATGCAGAGGAAAAGCTGGAAACTAGCAGAGGTTGGTTCATGAGGTTTAAGGAACGAAGCTGTCTCCAATAACATAAAAGTACAAGGTAAAGCAGCAAGTGCTGATGCAGAAGCTGCAGCAAGTTATCCAGAAGATCTAGCTAAGATAATTAACTAAGGTGGTTACCCTAAGCAACAGATTTCCAGTGTAGATGAAACAGCCTTTTATTGGAAGAAGATGCCATCTTCCATAACTAAAAGAAGAGAAGTCAATGCCTGACTTCAAAGCTTCAAAGGTCAAACTGACTCTCTTATTAGTGGCTAATGCAGTTTGTAACTTTAAGTTGAATTCAATGTTCACTTACTATTTTGAAAAATCTAGGGCTCTTAAAAATACATAAATGTACTCTGCTTGTGCTCTATAAATGAAACAACAAATCCCAGATGACAGCACATTTGTGTATAACACGGTGTAATGAATATTGTAAGCCTACTGTTAAGAGCTACTATTCAGAAAGAAACTTTCAAAATATTAACAATACACCTGATAATTCCAGAGCTCTGATAGACATACAAGGCGATCAACATTGTTTTCGTATCTGCTAACACAACATCCATTCTGTAGCCCATGGATCAAGGAATAATTTCAAGTTACAATTCCTATTATTTAAGAAATACATTTTGTCAGGCTATGGCTACACCAGATAATGATTCCTCTGACAGATCTGGGCAAATTTATTTGAAAATCTTCTGAAAAAACAATTACCATTCTAGATGTCATTAAGAATATTCATGATTCATGGGAGGATGTCAAAATATCAACATTAATGGGAACTGGGAAAAGGTTGATTCCAGTCCCCATAGGTGACTTTAAGAGGTTCAAGACATCAATAGAGGAAGTAACTGGAGATACAGTGGAAATAGCAAGAGAACTAGAATTGGAAATGGAGCTTGAAGATGTGATTGAATTGCTATAATCTCATGAGACAACTTGAATGGACGAGGAGTTGCTTCATAGGGATGAGCAAAGAAATGGTTTCTTGAGATGGAATCTACTTATGGCAAAGATGCTGTGAACATTGTTGAAATGACAACAGAGGATTTAGAATATTACATCAACTTAATTGATAAAGCAGTGACGGGATTTGAGAGGACTGACTCCAGTTTTGAAACAACTGGGTAAAATGAGATCAAATAGCATCTCATGGTACAGATGAATCTTTTGCGAAAGGAAGAGTCAATCAATACATTAAACTTCACTGTCATCTTACGTTAAGAAATTGCCAACAGCCACCCTTTCCTTCAGCGACTATCACCCTGATCAGTCAGCAGCCATTGAATTGAGGCAAAACTCTCCACCAGCACAAAGATCACCACTTGCTGAAAGCTCAGATGATCATTAGCACTTTTCAGCAATAAAATATTTTAAAATTAAGGATCGTAATTTTATTTTCAGACATAATGCTATTGCACACTTACTAAACTTAGACTACAGAATAGTGTAAGCATAAGTTCTGGAAAACCAAAACTTTGGTGTGACTCACTTTATTGCAACATTTACTTTATTGCTATGGTCTTGAACCAAATCTACAATATCTTTGAAGTATACCTGTGTCTGTGAGTTTGCAAGTGAGTGAACATATTTAAAACATTGAAAGCTACTTGTTAACAAAAGAACCCAAGAATTCCCACTAAGAGAAAAATGCTTACAATATTCTTGGTTTCTGAAGGTTTGTTTATTGTTTCTAATACAGGTTTTCTATTTTTCTTGTGTGCCAAGGAAACTAAAGCTAACTGGGAGAGGTATCAAGAAGAAAGCCCAGGAAGACTTCCAGGGTGGGGAAGACAGAATAAAGCTGGCAGGACTGTGCTTGCTAAGGTGTGACTGTGCAGCATCTGTGGCTTTTTCTGACCTCTACTCACCCCTGCACCCAACACCCATCCTCAAACTCAGATCAGGGCCGGGCGCGGTGGCTCACGCCTGTAATCTCAGCACTTTGGGAGGCCAAGGTGCGTGGATCACGAGGTCAAGAACTCAAGACCATCCTGGCTAACACAGTGAAACCCTGTCTTTACTAAAAACAAAAAATTAGCCAGGCGTGGTGGCGGGTGCCTGTAGTCCCAGCTACTTGGGGGGAGGCTGAGGCAGGAGAATGGCATGAACCTGGGAGGAGGAGCTTGCATTGAGCCAAGATTGCACCACTGCACTCCAACCTGGGCGATAGAGTGAGACTCTGTCTCACAACAACAACAACAACAAAATTGAGATGTGCCTCTGCTAATTCGTAACAACTGCATGAATTGCTTTTACTTTCAATTTCAGCTTTATTGCACCATCCCATTCGTGGAAATGACTAGCTTCCTCAGCTCTCTCTCTTTTTCTCCTTTATAAAGGAGGGACACAAAAGAAAAGTGGAAAGAGGAACGAGAGCAAGGGGGTACTGAAAGGCAACTGAAGACTCAAAACTTGGACCTGTGGTGCTGAAGAGCAGGTATGTTTGCTTTCTTTTACACGCAACTTGGTCCAACTCAAGACTCGGTTTCTGATTCAGAGTGGCAGCTGAGGAAAGGGCAGGAAGGGCAGGGGGCCTGCTGCCTGGCCTGCAGGAATCTGTGACTGGCTTTAGTTCTGGGGAAGCTCAGCTTCTCCCCTTGAACCAGTGACAGCCAAGAGGTCACAGCCAGGCACACCATGTCCCCCTGGATGTGCTCCTCCCTGATCATCTACTCAGGACAGCAGTGAGTGGCCTGGAATGAGCCCTGGTGGGCGCCTGCCTGGCTGTCTCTCTCAGGTCCTGCGGCAGGCCCAGAAATGCAGGGAACAAGGAGCTTCCAGGCAATTATAACCTGAAGGGAGAGTTTCTTTTCTATTTTTCTAGTGGTCACACTTAGGAAAGGTTCAGAGTAAGAGCTCTATTTAAGTCTCTATGTAGAAGTAAAAGCTAGTCCCTACATCGCTTGTCTTTATGACTTAAAAATAATTACATAGTCTCTCTCTCTCTCTCTCTCTCTCTCTCTCTCTGTGTGTGTGTGTGTGTGTGTGTGTGTGGTGTTAGTTTCCCACAGGATCATCAGAGTTACCTGTAGCTCTTGATAAACAGATAGATACTTAGGCCTGGGAATCTGGGTTTTAATCCCCTCAGGTGATTCTTATGTAAATCAGAGTTTGAAAACCAGTCCTGAATAGGATTGAACAGCTGTATTTCATTTAGTAGAAGTTAAAAGTTCTCTGTTTCCTCACAGCTAAGAAACCAGAGACCTGGTTTATATAAAGTTGTTTGCAGGAGCAGCCACATCTTCCTAGAGCTTCCTTTATTGCTTACTTTAAATAAGGGACTGTACAGTTGCAGTCACTGTAATGTGATGAAGACGTTACAGTGCATTTCATCGTAGAAATCAGGGCCTCCTGTTTGATCTCCATTCTCCTTACTCCCCTCAGTGAAGAATCAGACAAGAGCAGGTTGTACAGCAACAGCGTGCTTGAACTTTACTATTTTGCTCTAATGAAAAATTTACCTGTAGTTTTGGTTTCTTAGTAATTTACAGTTTGCATATTTTGTTGAACTGTATAAGCTAATGGACCAATTGTTATTGTAATTATGTAGCTTAACCTCCATTTAATTCAACTTTTACTAAAATCCTATTTTGTGCTGTATGTCATGTTAAGATATAAGCTTGTAATGTCTCATTTTATTACTAAAACACCCTCCGGGTTAGATGTATGATTTAACTCATAGACCCCTATAATTAACAGGCTCATCTAGGTGATGCTCCTTGGACAAGGCCGTATAAGTAGTGAATGATAGAGCTGGTATTTTTGATGGCATTAGAAGCATCTTGAATATTTCACATATAAATACAAAAGTGAGTATTTGAAGTATTTGAAGACAATATTATATTTACATATTCTGATTATAAAGAAATACAAATATCATAGAAAATCATTTTAATATAATGGCAATAAAAATGTGCCAGGAGATCTACAGAATAATTGTACTTTCAATACTAAATTTATGGAATTAAACTTCACCTCTCAAAAGCTTGCAATGAAATCCCGTATGCCTTTCGCCTCAATTCACTCAACAGTGACACTGACATTATCTCTCAAAAGGAAATCTCTCTAACTTATCTATGTATAGAGAGATAAACCTCTCTCTCTTTATATATCTCTAATTTATCTCTCTGTATAATATGCAATGTTATACGTATTGTTATTCTAATTCTTTTTTTTTTTTCCCTCATCTGTGGGAGTAACTCACTGAGAACTTGACCCTTCTAGGCTAAGTGCTTCAGACTGTATTTTAATTCTTTAGATCTAGACATGTTTCTGCTTCCCTTTTGAAAAAGGTAGCCTCCATTCTCTAAAAGATTCTCATCCCACATTGCTTTCTTCCCCTTCTCCCTCCAATTTCTATCCCTCTTCTAAACCTGTAGATAAAAGATGAGCACATACAGTCACATTGACAAAGTAGAGAGCATGTTTCAGTGTATGATAATCATTAAAAAGTTACTGCAGGTTACTGATCAAAGAACATATAGGATAACCACTGTCTTTGATTGTCAGTTTGTCAAGGATTTTGTCTTTTATTTTTTTTGTTTTGTGGTGAAATAGGCATAATAAAATTAATAAATTTTACAATTTTAAGAGTATACTTCAGTGACACTAATATGTTCGCATTGTTGTGCAACCGTCTCCAGAATCTATTCATTATTGTAAACTGAGTCTCTCTACCTTTAAACAATGATTCGCCCTTCCTTCCTCCCTCAGCCCATGGTAATTATGCTTCTACTTTTTGTCTCAATGTATTTGACTATTCTAGTACCTCATCCAAGTGGAATCATTTAACATGTGTTCTTTTGTGTCTGGCTTATTTCACTTGGCACAATGTCTTCAAGACTGATCCATGTTGTCGCATGTGTCATAATTTCAGTCATTTTTATGGATGAATAATATTCCACTGTAGGTATGTACTGCATTTTGTTGATATCATCTGTTAATGGACATAAAGGTTGTTTTCATCTTTTAGCTATTATAATGCTGCCATGACCATTGGTGTGCAATTATCTGTTTGAGTCCCTGCGTTCAATTTTTTTGGTGTATATACACAGAAATGAAATATATCTTTTTAATTATTTTTTTTATTATACTTTAAGATCTAAGGTACATGTACAGAACGTGCAGGTTTGATACATAGGTATACATGTGCCATGTTGGTTTGCTGCACCCATCAATTCATCATTTATATTAGGTATTTCTCGTAATGCTATCCCTCCCCCAGACCTCCACCCCCCGACAGGTCCCATTGTGTGATGTTCCCTGCCCTGTGTTCAAGTGTTCTTATTGTTCAGTTCTCCAGTATGAGTGAGAACATGCAGTGTTTGGTTTTCTGTCCTTGTGATAGTTTGCTGAGAATGATGGTTTCCAGCTTCATCCATGTCCCTACAAAGGACATGAACTCATTCTTTTTTATGGCTATATAATATTCCATGGTATGTATGTGCCACATTTTCTTAATCCAGTCTATCATTGATGGACATCTGGGTTGGTTCCAAGTCTTTGCTATTGTGAATAGTGCCACAACAAACATATGTATGCATGTGTCTTTACAGCAGCATGATTTATAATCCTTTGGATATATACCCAGTAATGAGATTGCTGGGTCAAATGGTAATTCTAGTTGTAGATCCTTGAGGAATTGCCACACTGTCTTCCACAATGGTTGAACTAATTTACACTCCCACCAACAGTGTAAAAGCAGTCCTGTTTCTCCACATCCTCTCCAGCACCTGTTGTTTCCTGACTTTTTGATGATGGCCATTCTAACTGGGTGTGAGATGGTATCTCATTGTGGTTTTGATTTGCATTTCTCTGATGAGCAGTGATGATGAGCATTTTTTTCACATGTCTGTTGGCTGCATGGATGTCTTCTTTTGTGAATTGTCTGTTCTATCCTTTGCCCACTTTTCGATGGGGTTGTTTGTTTTTTTTTCCTCATAAATTTGTTTGAGTTCTTTGTAGATTTTGGATGTTAGCTCTTTGTCAGATGGGTAGATTGCAGAAATTTTCTCCCATTCTGTAGGTTGCCTGTTCACCCTGATGGTAGTTTCTTTCACTGTGCAGGAGCTCTTTAGTTTAATTATATCCCACTTGTCAATTTTGGCTTTTGTTGCCATTCCTTTTGGTGTTTTAGTCATGAAGTCCTTGCCCATGCCTATGTCCTGAATGGTATTGCCTAGGTTTTCTTCTAGGGTTTTTGTGGTTTTAGGGCTAAATTTAAGTCTTTAATCCATCTTGAATTAATTTTTGTATAAGGTGTAAGGAAGGGATTCAGTATCAGCTTTCTACATATGGCTAGCCAGTTTTCCCAGCAACATTTATTAAATAGGGTTCTTGATTTTGTCAGGTTTGTCAAAGATCAGGTGGTTCTAGATGTGTGGTGTTATTTCTGAGACCTCTGTTCTGCTCCATTGGTCTATATCTCTGTTTTGGTACCAGTACCATGCTGTTTTGGTTAATGTAGTCTTGTAGTATAATTTGAAGTCAGGTAGCATGATGCCTCCAGCTTTGTTCTTTTGGCTTAGGATTGTCTTGGCAACGTGGGCTCTTTTTTTGGTTCCATATGCACTTTAAAGTAGTTTTTCCAGTTCTGTGAAGAAAGTCATTGGTAGCTCGATGGGGATGGCATTGAATCTATAAATTACTTTGGGCAGAATGGCCATTTTCATGATATTAATTCTTCCTATCCATGAGAATGGAATATTCTGCCATTTGTTTGTGTCCTCTTTTATTTCACTGAGCAGTGGTTTGTAGTTCTCCTTGAAGAGTTCCTTCACATCTGTTGTAAGTTGTATTCCTATTTTATTATCTTTGTAGCAATTGTGAATGGGAGTTCACTCATGATTTGACTCTCTGTTTGTTAATAGTGTATAGGAATGCTTGTGATTTTTGCACATTGATTTTGTATCCTGAGACTTTGCTGAAGTTGCTTATGAGCTTAAGGAGATTTTGGACTGAGACGATGGGGTTTTCTAAATATACAATCATGTCATATACAAACAGGGACAATTTAACTTCCTCTTTTCCTAATTGAATACCCTTTATTTCTTTCTCTTGCCTGATTGACCTGGCCAGAACTTCCAACACTATGTTGAATAGGAGTGGTGAGAGAGTGCATCCTTGTCTTGTGCCAGTTTTCAAAGGGAATGCTTCTGGTTTTTGCCCATTCAGTATGATATTGGCTGTGGGTTTGTCATAAATAGATCTTATTATTTTGAGGTACGTTCCATCAATACCTAGTTTATTGAGAGTTTTTAGCATGAAGGGCTGTTGAAGTTTGTCGAAGGCCTTTTCTGCCTCTATTGAGATAATCATGTGGTTTTTGTCATTGGTTCTGTTTATGTGATGGATTATGTTTATTGATTTGTGTATGTTGAACCAACCTTGTATCCCGGGGATGAAGCCAACTTGATCATGGTGGATAAGCTTTTTGATGTGCTGCTGGATTCGGTTTGCCAGTATTTTATTGAGGATTTTCACATCGATATTCATCAGCGATGTTGGTCTAAAATTCTCTCTTTTTGTTGTGTCTCTGTCAGGTTGATGTTGGCCTCATAAAATGAGTTAGGGAGGATTCCCTCTCTTTTTCTATTGATTGGAATAGTTTCAAAAGGAATGGTGTCAGCTCCTTTTTGTACCTCTGGTAGAATTCGGCTGTGAACCTGTCTTGTCCTGGACTTTTTTCGGTTGGTAGGCTATTAATTATTGCCTTAATTTCAGAGCCTGTAATCCGTCTATTCAGAAATTCAACTTCTTCCTGGTTTAGTCTTGGGAGGGTGTATGTGTCCAGGAATTTATCCATTTCTTCGAGATATTCTAGTATTTGCATAGAGGTGTTTATAGTATTCTCTGATAGTAGTTTGTATTTCTGTAGGATTGGTGGTGATATCCCCTTTATCATTTTTTATTGTATCTATTTGATTCTTCTCTCTTTTTTCTTTATTAGTCTTGCTAGCAGTCTACCAATTTTGTCGATCTTTTCAAAAAGCTAGCTCCTAGATTCATTGATTTTTGAAGGGTTTTTTGTGTCTCTGTCTCCTTCAGTTCTGCTCTGATCTTAGTTATTTCTTGCCTTCTGCTAGCTTTTGAATTTGTTTGCTCTTGCTTCTCTAGTTCTTTTACTTGTGATGTTAGTGTGTCAATTTTAGATCTTTCCTGCCTTGTCCTGTGGGCATTTAGTGCTATAAATTTCCCTCTACACACTGCTTTAAATGTGTCCCAGAGATTCTGGTACGTTGCATCTTTTTTCTCATCAGTTTCAAAGAACATCTTTATTTCTGTCTTGATTTCTTTATTTACCCAGTAGTCATTCAGGAGCAACTTGTTCAGTTTCCATGTAATTGTGTGGTTTTGAGTGAGTTTCTTAATCATCAGTTCTAATTTGATTACACTGTGGTCTGAGAGACCATTTGTTGTGATTTCTGTTCTTTTACATTTGCTGAGGAGGGCTTTACTTCCAATTATGTGGTCAATTTTAGAATAAGTGTGATGTGGTGCTGAGAAGAATGTATATTCTGTTGATTTGTGGTGGAGAGTTCTGTAGATGTCTATTAGGTCTGCTTGTTTCAGAGCTGAGTTCAGGTCCTGGGTATCCTTGTTTACCTCCTGTTTCATTGATCTGTCTAATATTGACAGTGGAGTATTAAAGTCTCCCATTATTGTGTGGGAGTCTAAGTCTCTTTGTACATTTCTAAGGACTTGCTGTATGAATCTGTGTGCTCCTATATTGGGTGCATATATGTTTAGGATAGTTAGCTCTTCTTGTTGAATTGATCCCTTAACCATTATGTAATGGCCTTCTTTGTCTTTTTTTGATCTTTGTTGGTTTAAAGTCTGTTTTATCAGAGACTAGGATTGCAACCCCTGCATTTACTTGGTAAATTTTTGTCCATCCCTTTATTTTGAGCCTATGTGTGTCTCTGCATGTGAGATGGGTCTCCTGAATACAGCACACTGATGGGTCTTGACTCTTTATCCAATTTACTAGCCTGTGTCTTTCAATTGGGGCATTTAGCCCATTTACATTTAAGTTCAATATTGTTATGTGTGAATTTGATCCCATCATTATGATGTTAACTAGTTATTTTGCCCATTAATTGGTGTAGTTTCTTCCTAGCATCAATGGTCTTTATAATTTGGCCTGTTTTTGCAGTGACTGGTACTGGTTATTTCTTTCCAAGTTTAGTGCTTCTTTCAGGAGCTCTTGTAAAACAGGCCTGGTGGTGACAAAATCTCTCAGCATTTGCTTGTTTGTAAAGGATTTTATTTCTCCTTCACTTAGGAAGCTTAGTTTGGCTGGATATGAAATTCTGGGTTGAAAATTCTTTTCTTTAAGAATGTTGAATATTGGCCCCCACTCTCTTCTGGCTTGTTGGATTTCTGCCAAGAGTTCTGTTGTTAGTCTGATGGGCTTCCCTTTGCGGGTAACCTAACCTTTCTCTCTGGCTGTCCTTAACACTTTTTTCTTCCTTTCAACTTTGGTGAATCTGACAATTATGTGTCTTGGGGTTGTTCTTGTTGAGAAGTATCTTTGTGGTGTTCTCTGTATTTCCTCAATTTGAGTATTGGCCTGCCTTCCTATGTTGGGGAAGTTTTCCTGGATAATATCCTGAAGAGTGTTTTCCAACTTGGTTCCATTCTCCCCATCACTTTCAGGTACACCAATCAAATGTAGATTTGGTCTTTTTACATTTTTCCATATTTCTTGGAGGCTTTGTTCATTTCTTTTTACTCTTTTTTCTCTAACCTTCTTTTCTCACTTTATTTCACTAATTTGATCTTCCATCACTGATACCCTTTCTTCCACTTGATCAAATCGGCAACTGAAGCTTATGCATGTATCACGAAGTTCTTGTGCCATGGTTTTCAGCTCCATGAGGTCATTTGAGATCTTCTCTACACTGTTTATTCTGGTTAGCCTTTCATCTAATCTTTTTTCAAGATTTTTAGCTTCCTTGCGATGGGTTTCAACATCCTCCTTTAGCTCAGAGAAGTTTCTTATTATTGACTTTCTGAAGCCTACTTCTGCCAACTCGTCAAAGTCATTCTCCATCCAGGTTTGTTCCCTTGCTGATGAGGAGCTGTGATCCTTTGGAGGAGAAGAGTCACTCTGAATTTTAGAATTTTCAGCTTTTCTGCTCTGGTTTCTCCCCATCTTTGTGGTTTTGTCTACCTTTGGTCTTTGATGTTGGTGACCTACAGGTGGGGTTTTGGTGTAGATGACCTTTTTGTTGATGTTAATGATATTCCTTTCTGTTTGTTAGTTTTCCTTCTACCAGTCTGGTCCCTCAGCTGCAGGTCTGTTGGAGTTTGCTGGAGGTCCACTCCAGACCCCGTTTTCCTGGGTATCACCAGGGGAGGCTGCAGAACAGCAAATATTGCAGAATGGCAAATGTTGCTGCCTGATCATTCCTCTGGAAGCTTTGTCTCAGAGGGCAGCTGCCTATATGAGGTGTCTCTCAGCCCCTACTGGGAGATGTCTCCCAGTTAGGTTACATGGGGTTCAGGGACCCACTTGAGGAGGCAGTCTGTACATTCTCAGAGCTCAAACGCTGTGCTGGGAGAACCACTGCTCTCCTCAGAGCTGTCAGACAGGGACACTTACATCTGCATAGGTTGCCTGCTGCCTTTTGTTCAGCTATGCCCTACCCACAGAGGTGGAGTTTAGAGGCAATGGGCCTTGTTGAGTTGCAGTGGGCTCCTCCCAGTTCCAGCTTCTCTGGCCACTTTGTTTACCTACTGAAGCCTCAGCAATGGCGGACGCCCCTCCCCCAGTCAGGCTGCGGTCTCGCAGATGGTTCTCAGACTGCTGCACTAGCAGTGAGCAAGGCTCCGTGTGTGTGGTAGTCACTGAGCCAGGCACGGGAGAGAGTCACCTTGTCTGCCGGTTGCTAAGACCTTGGGAAAAGCACAGTATTTGCATGGTAGTGTCCCATTTTTCCAGGAAGTCTGTCATGGCTTCCCTTGGTTAGGAAAGGGAAATCCCCCAACACCTTGTGCTTCCCCGGTAAGGCAACACCCCGTCCTGCTTTGGCTCGCCCTCCGTGGGCTGCACCCACTGTCCAAGCAGTCCCAATAAGATGAACCAGGTACCTCAGTTGGAAATGCAGAAGTCACCCCTCTTCTGCATTGATCATGCTGGAGGATGCAGACTGGAGCTGTTCCTATTTGGCCATCTTGGAATTACCCCAATCAGAAATGAAATATTTTGATGTTAATTCTATGTTTCATCTTTTTTTAGGAACCACCATACTTTTTCTTTTTCTTTTTTTTTTTTAGAGACGAAGTCTCGCTCTGTCGCTCAGGCTGGAGGAGTGCAGTGGCGTGATCTCGGCTCACCACAAGCTCCGCCTCCTGGGTTCATGCCATTCTCCTGCCTCAGCCTTCCGAGTAGCTGGGACTACAGGTGCCTGCCAGCACACCCGGCTAATTTTTTGTATTTTTAGTAGAGATGGGGTGTCACGGTGTTAGCCAGGATGGTCTCAATCTCCTGACCTTGTGATCCACCTGCCTCAGCCTCCTAAAGTGCTGGGATTACAGGCATGAGCCACCGTGCCGGGCCACCACCATACTTTTATTCTTAGTGGCAATACCATTCATATTTCTACTAGCAATGGACAAAGATTCCAATTTCTCCACATCCTAGCTAACACTTGTTTTCTGCTTAATTTTTGTTTGAAAATATTAGTCATCTTAATGGGTGGTTGTGGAGTGGTACCTCACTGTGGTTTTGATTTGCATTTCCCCAGTGATAACTAATGTTGCACATGTCTTCATATGTGTATTAAGGTCATTTATAGGTCCTCCTGGGAGAAATGTTCATTTCAGGGCATTTTCAATTGGGATTTTGTCGCTGTTGAGTTGTAAGAGTTCTTCATGTAGTCTATCAAATATATGGTTTGGAAATATTTTCTCCCATTCCATGGGTTGCCTTTTTACTACATTGACAGTGCTCTTTGATGCACAAAAGTTTTTAATTTTGATTAAGTGTGGTGTATCTATTTTTTTTTTTTTTTCAGTTTTCTGTGGTTTTGGTATCATGCACAAGAAATCATTGATACTGGAAATCTGAGTAAGGCAGAACATATACTAGAAAGGACAGCCCCCAGTCAGAATAGCAGGTTATAAATAAAGTCTGTTCTACTCCCTTCAGTTCAGGGAAGGGAAGTGAAAACTGGACTGCCACCTCCTCCAGACCACAACCATGCCCTTGAGGTGAGTGGATAGGGAAAGGGCAAATGAAACACCTTGGAATTTCCTACTATTTTGAATGTGCCTTTTTTTTTTTCTCTGGACATTTTCTTGGGTGCTGTAGACCTTTGACTGTTTTCTAGAGATTCTATAAGATAATTTTAGTCATTTTTTCAGTTGTTTTTTGATGTCTCCAAGAGAGAAGAAGGACTTGGAACTTCTTAGTCTGCCACTTTGCGCAATTGTCTGGGTTTGTAATCCTGGCTCTATGACTTATGCACTCAGCCTTTGTGAGACTCATTTATCTCATTTACATATATAGGGATATAATAATCTCTAACTTGCAGGTTCTTGTAAGTGTCAATGAGTTCAGATATTTAAGGCAGACATCACAGGGCTTGGACTATTGTAGACCCCCTATTATGATAACAATTACTTGAGTTTTATTATTACTATTGAAGAAAAATTATGGAGATGATAATATACTATGTTTCATTGCTAACACCATTACGGATTTGGGAGAATGATGGAGGAAGCCTTTTGTAGTTCACTAATGCTAGGTTACATGTTATCTCAAAGAAATGCAAAAGTCTTATCAGTCCTAAATTTATGGGTGTTTGCATTACTAGGCAGAGAATGTAACCTTATTTCTACTGGGAGACTCTTCTAGGTTGGCGGTTGCCATGGAATCTGGACCCAAAATGTTGGCCCCCATTTGCCTGGTGGAAAACAACAATGACAAGCTGTTGGTGAACCAGCAAGCTATACAGATTCTTGACAAGATTTCGCAGCCAGTGGTGGTGGTAGCCATTGTTGGACTGTACCGTACAGGCAAATCCTACTTGATGAACCGTCTGGCAGGAGAGAATCATGGTGAGTGGTATCCTGGGACACAGGCCAATTGCTTGATTCCAGTATCTTAATGCTCTAATCTATGCATGTGAAGCGCGAACCCAATTCCTTTCAATAAACCAACCTTCTCATTCTGATTCTCACCACCAAATCACTACCTTTCTGTAACCTTTCCCCCTATTTTTTCCTTTATTCCAATTAAGGAAAATCTCCCCTACTAGTACTCAGAATCCTCCCATGTCTTGTGTATTCAAGTCCTGGGCTCCCATAATTGTGTCTCCTTTCTCTTATAACATATTTTACTTTCTTCACGTAATATTCCCATCAACATACAAAGATGTTTGAAGGTGTATCATCTTAAAAACTCTTCCTGAATTTCACATGTCATCGTGGGCACCAAATCCTGTCTTGATTTTGTGTTTGTTTTTGTCTTTAATCACTTTCAATGCAAAAAACATTGTCTCAATCTGCTTTTTTGAATTATTTTTCTTCTCATGTCTTTCTTCAACCTACTCCTGTCTGACTTTGAACCCCACCACTTTTCAGGATATTCCTGTTATCAGTGACCTCCATTTTGTCTGATTCATGGATTCCTCTTCGTCTCCATTTTGAGCACTTTCTTGGCATCATTCTCACATTTAATGTCTCTTGCTTTTTGAAATTGATGAATCACAGAGAGAGACATTCTTGAGGAAATATAGAAAGCACCATCTTGTATGCTGGGCAGTTACAATCGAACCAGTCTGAATCCATGGCCCCAGGGCTGCTTGGCTGTTCTCCTGTCCCCATGCTTAGCTTCCTCCTCTTCCCTGCAGGCTTCCCTCTGGGCTCCACGGTGCAGTCTGAAACCAAGGGCATCTGGATGTGGTGTGTGCCCCACCCCTCCAAGCCAAACCACACCCTGGTCCTTCTGGACACCGAGGGACTGGGCGATGTGGAAAAGGTAAGGCAGGGAGTCATAGGTAGGTTTTTTTTATTCCAGACATGATCCTTGTAATTTAATTGTTGTGATATATTTGTGAAAACTAGAAATCCAACTACAGTGAATAAGGCAAACTTTGACCTGGTTAAGTCACACTTCTAGACAAGATTAGATATCATGGTATATTAGGTAAAACATTCTTTTATTTCTTGGCACAGTGGTGAATGATTTGATTAGATATCACAAATATTAGGTAAAACATTCTCTTTTATTTTGAAAGGCAGGAATGATTTGAATCAATCTCCATGTAAATTGTTACAGTTGAGTTCAGGCCCTGGACTGAGTAGCTTAGACATTGGTCAACAAAGTAAAGGTCCTGCCTACAAAGACTCTCAGGGTGTGGAATGATTGGGAAAGAAGTAGGTTGGCCAGAGAGAGGAGATTGGAATGCAATGCAGTCCCTGCCTGGTCAATTCCACAGGAAGCCTGTGGCTGGAATGGCAGCTTTGAGCATGTTTTGGGACAAGGGAAGCAGGCCTTCAACCCTGTGCTGGCCAATCACTGAAGTCTGTCTGGGAAAACTTTCTTGGCAGAGTTTACACCAGATCCAGGTGCAGCACCCTCAGCTTTCACTTTATGTACAGTTGTGTTAAGGCCCTTGATAAGAAAGGGAAGAGGTGAGTTGACTCAATCTCAGGAGATGAGGAAAGGCCTCTCACCCACCTCTGAGCTACTGTTTAAGATGGCTACTTGAGGGTTGGAATTAAGAGAGTTCAGTTTATATTTGTGATGAAGCTCATCAACTACCCACAGAGACCTGGAAGGCCTTCTTGAGACACTTCTGATTGTGCCTGTTACAAAAGTACTGTTCTTCCCACAATAAACATTATAAGATGAATTTTTGTAAATATTTCTATGAATGGGTGAAATAAATAATTTTCTTTGTCTTAGTTTGAGATCATTTGGGAATAGTTTCTAAACTTCTATATATATACTTGATTTTTGTCAAACAGGCATTGAAACTGGTTTGTTTTTCTACTATGTTGTATAACTGATAAAATAAAAATTGTATATAATTGCTTCGTACAACTTGATGTTTGATATGTGGCATATAACCAGAAATGATCACCATAATCGCTGGGTCATTATAGCGGCTACTCTCACATAGTTATCATTTTCTTTTTCTATGCTCCTTTTTATTTTTTGGTAAAGAATAATTGATCTGTCCTCTTTATAAAGTAAGGTCAATCATTATAGTGACAAGAAGGGGTTACAGTCATACCAGTTGCAGCAGTGATTCCCAGAGTTTATTTATCTTGCATAACTGAAATTTTATACTTCCACTAACATTTCTTCATTTCTCCCCATCCTCTGTGCCCGTGGCAAACCACTATTCCACTCTGCGGCTATGAGTTTGACAGTTTGACTATTTTAGATTCCACAAATAAGTGAAATCATGCATTATTTGTCTTCTAAGTCGACTTGATTTCATCAGTCACTGACCTCAGTGTTCATCTATGTTAAGGTAAATGACAAAAATTCCTTTTCTGAGATTGAATATATATTATATATATAATATTCAATATTATCAATAGTATATAGCAAAGCAGGATGGGCCAGCCGTGTCCCCACCCAAATCTCATCTTGAATTGTAGTTCCCATAATCCTCATGTCATGGGAGGGATCCCGTGGGAGGTAATTGAATGATGTGGGTGGTTTCCCGGGCCATTCCCATGATAGTGAGTGTTCTCATGAGAGCTGATGGCTTTATAAGGATTCCCTTTACTTGGCTATCATTCTTCTCTCTCCTGCTACCATGAAGAAGGATGTATTTGCCTTCCCCTTCCACCATGATTGTAAGTTTCTGAGGCTTCCTACATGCTGAACTGAGTCAAACTTCTCTTGTAAAATTGTCCAGTCCCCCCCGGGTATGTCTTTATTGGGCAGCATGAGAATGGACTCAATACAATGGCTACATGTACTCTGTGTTTTCTTTTCGTTTGTTCATTGATGGACATTCAGTAGTTTCCATATCTTGGCTGGCTGTGAATAATGCTGCACTATTACGGATATATTTAAATATTCATACTACCTTATGTAAATATAAATATGAAAGTACAGATATATCTTTAAAATATTGATTTAATTTCATTTGATTTATACATGAAAAGTAAGATTACTGGATCATATTGTAGTTGATTTAATTTTGAGGAACTCATATTTCTTCTCCATAATAGCTGCATGAATTTATACTCCAGAAAATGTAAATAAATGTTCCCTTTATTTTATATTCTTGCTTTATAATTGTTATTTTTAATTCCTTTGGAAATAGCTATATCTAAATGTAAATAGGTGATATCTTATTTTTGTTTTAATTTGTATTTCTTGATAATTAGGTAATTTTATACACTTATATATACATATTGGCTATTGGTATGCTGCCTTTTGAGAATGTGGGACTGTGTGGTTCTTTTACTCATTTTTTAATGTTTATTTTAACTCAGGGTACATGTAAAAGACGTGTGTAGGTTTGTTGTTATTAGATAAACATGTCATGGGGGTCAGTTGTACAGGTTATTTTATCACCCAGGTATTCTTTACTCATTTTTAATGTCATTTTACTCAGGGTACACGCAAGACGGCAGCAGTTTTGTTACATAGATAACATGCCATGGGGTCGGGTTGTACAGGTTATTTTATCACCCGGTATTGCTCACTGTCTATTAGTCATTTTCTCTTCTCCCCTCTTCCTCCCACGCCCTCCCATAATCCCCAGTGTATGTTCCCCAGGTGTCTGCATGTTCTCATCATTTAGTTCTAATTTATGAGTGAGAATATTAAGTGTTTGGTTTTCTGTTTCTGCATTAGTTTATAAGGATAATGTCTTCCAGGCACAAATCCATGTCCTTGAAAAGGACATGATTTTGTTCTTCTTTATGGCTGTATATAGCATTTTATTGTGTTTACTTACCACATTTTATGTATCCAGGCTATCACTGATGGGCATTTGGGTTGATCTCTCATGTCTTGCTATTATGAATAGTGCTGTAATGAAAGGAAGACATGCATGTGACCAACAATCATATGAAAAAAAAGCTCAGCATCACTGATCATTACAGAAATCCAAATGGAAACCACAGTAAGATACCATCTCACACCAGTCAGAATAGGATATTAATAGAAAGTCAAAAAATAACAGATACTGGTGAGGCTGTGGGCTTTTACACCATTAGGTGGAAGTAAATTAGTTCAACCATTGTGAAGACAGCATGGCAATTCCTCAGAGAGCTAAAGACAGAACTACCATTGAACCCAGCAATCCCATTACTGGGTATATACCCAAAGGAACATAAATCATTCTATTATAAAGACATGCACGCAAGTTGTTGTAGCACCTTGCTCATTTTAATGAGGTATGAGGTTTTATTTCTCTATATTGAGTTATATAAGTTCCTTATATTTTGGATATTAACTCTTATCAAACAGCAGGTTTGCAAATATTTTTTCCTTTCCATTGGTTGCATTTTCACTCTGCTGCTTGTTTCCTTTGTTACCTGAAGCATTTTAATTTGATGCAATCCCACTTCTGTCTAATTTTGCTTTTGTCACCTGTGCTTTATTACCTCATATCTAAAAACATCATTGCCCAAAAAGTAATGTCAAGTTTTTTCCCCATATTCTTCTGTATTTTTATGGCTTCATATCTTTTTTTTCCTCTTTTGTCTAACTAAAATTTTGTGTCCTTAGCTAACATTTTCCAACCTTCCTTTTCCCCTCTCTCCACTAGCTCCTTGTAACCACTATTCTACTTTCTGCTGCTGTGAGTTCAACTTTAGATTTGGCATATAAGTAAAATCATGCAGTGTTTGTCTTTCTGTGCCTGGTTTATTTAACTTAGCTTAACATCCTCTAGATTCTCCAGGTTGCTGGGCAATGTGACAGGATTTCCTTCTTTTTTGGAGGCTTATAGTATTTCATTGTGTATAGATTTCATATTTTAATAATTCATTCATCTGTTGATGGAAATAGGTTGACTTCCATGCCTTGGCTATTGTGAATAGTAAGCAATAAATATAAAAGCAGTCAGATCTCTTTGACATAGTCATCATTTTCCTTGGATGTATACACAGTAGTGGGATTTCTGGATCCAGTTTCTAGCTTTCCATTTAAGTCTTTAAACCATTTTCAGTTTTTGTGTATGGTGTAAGTGTGGATCAAATATAGATCTCCTGCATACATGTGATACATCTGTTTTCCAGCACCATTTATTGAGGAGACCATTGTTTCTTCAATGTATATTCTCAGCACATTAGTCAAAAATGAGTTCACTGTGGATGTATAAGCATTTATTTCTGTACTGTCTATTCTGGTTCCATTGACCTATATGTCTTTTATGCCAGTATCATACTATTTTTGCTACTGTGGTCTTTGGTAAATATATATTGAAATGAAGAAATATAATGCCTCAGGCTATGTTCTCTGCTTCAAGATTACTTTGATTATTCAGGGCATTTTGTGATTCTGTTTTAATTTTAGGATTGTTTTTTATATTTATTTAAGAACATTATTGGGGCCGGGTTGAGACAGTGGAGATGGCTTGAGGCTAGGAGTTAGGAAACAACCGTGTGGCAACATAGTGAAAGCCCATCTCTACAAAAAAATAATAATAATAAACAAAATGCCTTTGGGATTTTTATAGGTACTCTAAAGTCATCTATCAAACAGTAATATACTCCTGTCTAAATAGTTTATTGTCGGTCATGAGTCCCAATTTCTAAGAAGAATCTCATTGATTACTTTTAGTAAATTAGGATTGTTGGACATAATGAATGAATAGGCTATTCTTCCTACCTCTAAAATTTCATAGAATCTTCTGAATTATGTAGAAAATCTCTAGATCTCAATTTTTATATTTGCTTTAGGAACTAGTCATATGCTTTTAGGGTAGAAATAATTCTGACTATCTATGCACTCTAGACATGCTCTAATTTATAAAAACAAATTTAGCCTGACCTTTTGTAGTGTCCTTAATCAACAGGTACTGGAGCTCCTATTCAGTCTTATCTTCTGCACTTACCCTCTGCTCAGTCAGACCAATAAACTCTATTCTTATTGCAAAGATTCCTGAAATCTACAATCTCTAATTTTGTTTCTGTGGGTCTTTCTACTTGCAGAATCACCTCATTTCCTTCAAATCCACATTCTATCAATTCTTTTAACATTCAGCTCATGACTTCCAGGAAGCCTCTCTCATACTACATACACTTTCTTCAATTTTAAGTAGCTCTTATCTTCAGGATAGACTTGCAATTTCTTTTAATTCTTAACATTATATTATGGGTTCCACTTCTTATGTACATTACTAAGATGTTATCTCTTTAAAAATATTGTCATTTTTATTGGATTCATCATTATGAATGTTTGTCACAACTTTGAAATAGTCATCTTGAGAGTAAATTTATTAAATTTTTCTTTCTAAACATAAGAACAGTGAGAAACATTCTCTTCAGTTTCCTATTAGTGTTTGGTTGGAATTAAATCTGAATATAATTACAATCCCCAGTTATGCATACTATGGTATGAAGTTTTACATGATGCATGGCCAATAAATATGTTTAGATCAAGAAGGGCACATCATCATGAATATCCAACTGAGAACCAGATATTTTACTAGTTTTTCCATATATGCATCTTATTTCATCCAATTGAGGAAAAGAAAACCCTATGAAGATCTGAATCCTTTTATATGTAAAGCAAATTGTGATTAGATACAAAAAAAAAAAAATTAGGGCCAGGCATGGTGGCGGCGCCTGTAGTCCCAGCTTCTAGGGAGGCTGAGGCAGGAGAATGGCCTGACTGGGAGGCAGAGCTTGCAGTGAGCCGAGACTGGCCACTGCACTCCAGTCTGGGAGATACAGCAGGACTCCGTCTCAAAAAAAAAAAAAAAAGAAATTGCATTAGAAGACATAATGTACTATAAAACTGTTGTTTACATTCATGTCTATCTTCTTTGTACATAAAGTACATTAGCTGGAAACTATAAATGAAAGACTGACAAAATAAATGTCTCTGTGAATTTCCCAAAGACTATAATTTAAGTCCTTGCTCTAATGTGCTTTTTAGGGTGACCCTAAGAATGACTCCTGATCTTCGCAATTCTGGCTGTGCTCCTGTGCAGCACCTTTGTCTACAACAGCATGAGCACCATCAACCACCAGGCCCTGAGCAGCTGCAGTATCCTCCCGTGAAATAGAACAGAATCACCAAGTTTCATTGACGTTATAGGAATGGAGATCAAGTCATTTCCTCCTTCCCTTTAATTTAATTACCTTTGGTGCAGCCTAGGGAACCTAAGACAAAAGAGAGTGTTTATAATATTTTTTAAAAGAATGTGGAATTGTGGGCAGACAGTTGCTTTTCCTTACCTAAGTCCTAGTTATGTGACAGAGCTCACAGAACTCATTAAGGCAAAGTCTTACCCAAGGCCTGATGGAGTAGAAGATTCCACAGAGTTCGTGAGTTTCTTTCCAGACTTTATTTGACTGCTGGATCTACCTCTGAGTCAGTTGAATGGTGACCCTATCACAGAAGATGAGTACCTGAAAATGCCTCCCTAGAAGCTGATTCAAGGTATCAGCAGGTGGCCTGGGTTGTGGGGTGGTCCAGTGGGTGTGATCTGCTAAACACTGCCTGGCCATCTCTGGGTTTCATTTGTATTAGAGACTAGATTGAGGTCTGTAGAAATGGGGACTGAGGGGTAAGGCCAAAGAGCTCTAGAATGGAGCCTAGTTCACTTGGCAAAGTAGAGTCACAGCAGATAAATTATTCAAGATAATTTGTCTGTACAATTAGTACTCTAGCATTCAGATTACAATGGGTGCTAAGACTTTCTAAAAACAAGATGCTTGTGATCCCTGTTTTCCTCTGCTTTTCTGGGTGTTTAGAAAATGACTGGACTAGATAATTGTTAGACATGAAAATTACAAAAGAAAAGCCTATCTTAATAAAAATATATGTCTGTGTTAGACCACTTGCATGAATGTTTATGGGCAAAGGAGGTCTGTGTTTCAGAAGATGGCAAAAAGACAATATAAACCCTGTCAAAAATAATTAGCTCTCTTATACCAAGACTATTTTCACTATATTCTCCGTTTTTCTTATCCCCCCAGGCAAGAATCCTGTGTTCAAGCATCCAATTTGCCCAGGAGTGCATCAGGCATTTCTTTCAAAACGGAAGTGCTGTCTTGACTGCCAACATGACAAACCTTCTAGCCAATATCGAGAAGGTGTCAGAAAGCAACTGGATCCCAAATTCCAGGAACAACAACATTTTCCGCTCTTACATCTTCACGCATGCAGAACCAAGACCCCTAGGGAGTGGGAATCAGTCACTGGGAATCGAGTCTCCTTTTACATTTCTGTAGCTTCTATGTGTGTTGAATATATTGTATAATGTGTTTCTCAGAATTTTTATTAGATTCCATATAGAACTATGTGTATACAGGTATCCACGCTCAATGAAGAAATGTGTATAATTATCACACTTACTGCAATTTACAAATTCCTCTCCAATATTGCAAACTCTGTCACTGATATCTGTGACTTCCTACATCTGAAAAAAATCCTCTGCTGGATAAAATAACTAATCAATACTAAAACAGACATATAATATTTTCTTAGGGTAAGTCTTATATGTTCAATATTCTTTGCAAAGAGAATACAAAAGATATGTTGAAGTTTAAAAACCTCTAGAAGGCTGGGGGTGGTATCACCTATAATCCCAGTACTTTGGGAGGCAGAGGCACGTAGATCACTTTGAGCTCAGGAGTTTGGAGACCAGCCTGGGACAACATGGGTGAAACCCCATCTCCACAAAAATACAAACTAGCTGGGCATGGGTGGTACATGCCTGTAGTCCCAGCTACTTAGGAGGCTGAGGCAGGAGAATCACTTGAGCTCTGGGAGGCGAAGGCTGCAGTGAGCCAACATCACACCACTGCACTCCAGCCTGGGCCTGCAAGTCTAGAAATAAATAAATATTAGCCTACAATTCCCTGGAAAATACATTGGTAGCTTCCGAATTCAGGGAATAAATGCAATATGATTTGCCCTGCATCATTTTATCTGTGTAACTACCTTTCTTATAATCTTTAAATGAGAATTTGTAATTTCCTGTATACTCTCTAGTATGTTAGATAAAATGTATATTTAAATTTTTTAGCACTGTGGACTGGGGATCCATAAAAATGAAGAGCTGGCCAGGAAAATAAAAGGATAATAGCAGAAAGAGATAGGGATGTGGGTGTATCTTGCTTGCATGTGTACATGCGTGTGTGTGCATGCATGTGTGTGTTCTGTGAAATGTAGCCTAGATCCTATTGAGTTTTAATTTCACATTTAGCTCCTAAATCTCCCTGGTCCATTTAGGGTCTAGGAATCCTGCAGTGACTCTACGATGCCATCAACAGTGGAGCGGTGCCTTGTCTGAGAATGGTGATAACTCTGGCCCAGCGTGAGAACTCAGCTGCCATGCAGAGGGCAGCCGACTACTACAGCCAGCAGATGGCCCAGTGGAGCTCCCACAGACACGCTCCAGGACCTGCTGACGTGCATGCCTGTGAGAGGGAAGCCATTGCAGCCTCATGGAGCACTCCTTCAAGGATGGAAAATCAGAATTTGAAGAAGCTCTGTAATTTGCCTTAGCCAATATCATTGTTCATCATCCTCCTAAGAATGAAGCCTATACTTGCCTTTATTGACACCAATGCTCATCTGTCACTGAGGAATAACTTATCATGGATTCTCATGAGGGATAGAGTTCTCAAAAAGACTACATATCCCTCTTTATCTCCCCAAACTCCAAGCAGCACTTAACCAGAAACCTCTTGATAACTGAGGTAAAATCAACACACATCCCTTAAGATCCTCCTTAAGTGAACACTTCTAAGGATTCCTGGCCTGCCTTTGAACACGCACAAGTCACTCCCTGGAGCGGAAATTTTTCTGTGTATAGTCTACCTTTCTCACGAAACAAAGATTCTCTTACCAGATCTTCATTCCAGGCCATTGTTTAACTTACATTATTCCTTCTTGTATCCTTTGTACCACTGAGGACAGGAGCACAGGATGCCATTGCTGCGGCTAAACATAGAGAGATTATGGAATGTCTCATCATGTCATAGATGAAGAAACTCAAAGCTCAGGAAGAAGCAATGAACTCTTTCCCATAGCCGTGGAAGAGAATTTTTTAGCACTGTGAATATATGAAATGTTGTGTTTCTGATCCACATCTACTCCACTAGAATGTTTTTACTATGAGGATCGCAGGTCAGATTGACTCTTCTACCAGATTCTTTAGAATTCATCTCCTCCATATGTTTCTCTGGTGACATCTCTCACACTTCCCTTGCAGGAAATCACAATGAATAAGAAGGGGGATTTCTTGTTGCAGAATGAAAAGAGTCCTCTGTTCAATACTGCCAGGCTAAACTCAATGAGCCTCTTAAAGGGCCTAATGGAAAGTATCTCAGCAGGAAGCCTGTTCCTGGAGGCACAAGCCTACATGAAACAAAGAAAAAGATTGAACAGTGGACTATTGGCAAGTTCCCAGGAAAGGAGGGCAAGAGGAATAAGGGGAACATGGGGAAGTTTATAGGATAGAGTGAATGGAGTCTTCAGCACCAGCCATGGGTAATAAGAGTAAGTAGAGGGATAGCATAACGTCTTAGCTTAATGTCCACTTATTTATTATTTATTTCTTAGAATAAAATTTTTATCCCCAACAAAGAATATAGTATTCAGAAATCCAGAGAGACAGAACGAAATTAGCCATAAAGCAAGAGCTGGTGATTTGTGTGGTTAAAGTAGAATCTTTGCATTCAAAGTTGATAAAAATGAGAGAGTATGAAATAAATAGAAAATTGCATACAGAGTCATGATATTTATGGACCTGTGGAAAAATGTATACCTACCTGAGGCGTTTATTACCACCACCTAGGTGATGGTAATACAACTAACTCACAATGAGCTATTATTATCACAGTGTATTGTTAAACCTGTCCCTAGACATTTTAATTTCATCTTCCTAATGACTTTAAGAAGCACCCTTTATTTTGGAAATTTTATAGATCTGAATTTATACCTGTAAGGATGAGTATACTAATCTATTTGAAAGTTGTAGCCAGCAAGTGGTGGAGAAAGCAAGTGCATAGATTAGAGGCAGCATTGCCACTGAAGACAACCATATAAGCATCAGAGATTGGGAGTTTGTACACCTGTGCATATAGTTCTGCCTGGCCAGAACCCAAAGCAGGTACAGGGAGATATTATAGCCGTGGGAGAGGTGGGCTGGAGTGGTGACAGGAAGCAGGAGTTGAGGAGGGGCTCTGGTCACACTAAAGAGCCTGCATACTTTGTAGGGCCACTTCTAGAATCTTAGGCATCACAAAAGTTACAAGACCATAATTATTTTGCAACACTATCACCTAGAACATCAATTCTCAAAGAAATCAAGGCTTTTTCTTGCTTCCCCATAGGCAAAAGAGGTCTTCCAGAGGTTCCTGAGCTACAGGTGGTGGAGTAGAGAATCCATCTTGCAATGGATAAAAGCCCCACTGATAGAGAAGGCAGCAGGTATGGGGCAGGCCTGGGTTGACAGCAGGAGGGCCATGTTTATACAATGCTCAACAGACCCAAAATGAGTGAATTTCCCCTCTTCAGAGCACACTAAGCAACTAAAAATAACAAGGAGCTATGATTGTACTCTCAGCCAGACAGGCAGAGTGCCTTTCCCATCACATTCTCAAATGCTCACGAAGGACCTGGGTAAATTCTGTGATTTCTCACCCTGCTTTTCAGATTTGGTTTAGTCTCTCAGCTCAGAAAAGTGGAGATGAATCTTCACCTATTATTTTCTTCTTCTTTCTAATACCTTCAAGTGGAGCAGTGGATCGTCAAGTATGAGCAGCTGAGAAGGAACAGGAGCTTTTAAAACAGAAATTACGGGAGCAGCAGCAACAGATGGAGGCTCAAGAGAAGAGTCTCAAGGAAAACATAGCCCAGCTGAAGGAGAAGCTGCAGATGGAGAGAGAACAGCTACTGAGAGAGCAGAATATGATGCTGGAGCACAAGCTGGGGCTGTAAGTCTGCCCTTGGCCTCAGCAGGCCAGATGGTCCTTGCCCAGGTGACTTGGTGAAGGGCTGGGTGGGTTGAGGCAGTATTCTTTGAAGGGAAGCATGACTACCATACTTGTCATTTGGAAATGCTCTGAATCTCTCTCTCTCTCTCTCTCTCTCTCTCTCTCTCTCTGTGTGTGTGTGTGTGTGTGTATGTTTTTTATTGTTTCAGTAAGACTTGGAATTATTCTCTATATTCTCTATACTTAGATTCTGGGATGTAAGGTTGACTATGATCCCATAAGTCCTTGGGGAATATGTACGGTTGAGGCTGCTGTTTGGGGAGATTTTAAAAGTAATCTCAAGAGGTTAAACATACATTCCACATACAGGCATTTGATGTGAACGGGTAACTGGTTTCCTTCACTAAGCATATTAATGAGCCTACTACCACCCAAACACCTCCTGGAGGTAGATCCATGCTGACATACAATCCCTGTGAAACTTCCCGGACTTAAAAGGACAGGAAAAAGGAACTTGCTGCAGTTGTCACTCTGTGTGGGTAGTCTGCTCAAATTAGCACACAGTGTAGGGAGAATTCTTGCTTGTCCATCTGAAAGTTCTCTCATATGGATTTCTGCATCAGCTTATAAGTTCCTTTTTCATTCCTAAGCAATATGGGTGACCGTGCTGCCCAATTGGGACTGAGAATTTATGCAATCAGACCAGTGGCTAGCCTCCCAACTGGCGTCTTTTGGCCGAAATACGAATTTGTCCTAATAATTAAGAAGTACCATAGCAAACCATAATGTGGGTGAATATTAGTAAAGTTGTAAACTATGCTTTCCTCACAATGTCTTAGGAACCAAAGTCTCCTCTAATCATTGATAAAATGTTTTTAGGAGAAAATAAAGAAGTTTCACACAGGTCTTAACATAAAATATAAGTCTTAAGAGAATAGAGATTTTTAAAATCTACTTTCCTTCCTACATTTCTTTAGGTCCAGAAAAAGATTTACTTGATGAAGGATTTAAGAAGAAATGGAGAGATGAATGCAGAGAGATAAATCAACTAAAACATATGATTTATACTACAAAATGACATACTTCCTGGATTGCGATACCTTGGACAAACGAAACTTGTCAATGAGCTACCTCTCAATATTGTCTGTCCTGCTAAATTAATTGGCCAGTTGCCAAAGGTGTGAGTTCTCGCTTCTTAAATAGCATGAGTTCCTCTATTAAGGATATTATAGATCGCGGCATATATGCTTTGTACTCATTTTTGATCCTGATCTGTATGTTTTCATTTCTATCTAGCAAAGTTTTTTTTTTTTTTTTTTTCAGAGAGTCTTACTTATCGCCCAGGCTGGAGTGCAGTGGTGCAATCTCGGCTCACTGCATCCTCTCCCTCCTGGGTTCAAGAGATTCTCCTGCTTCAGCTTCCCTAGTAGCTGGGATTATAGGTGCACACCACCACACCGAGTTAATTCTTGTATTTTTAATAGAGACGGATTCACCGTGCTGGCCAGGCTGGTCTCGAACTCTGACCTCAAATGATCCACTCCACTCGGCCTCCTAAGTGCTGGGATTAGGCATGAGCCACTACGACTGCCTCATTTAGCAAAAGTTTTAAACATAAAAGGTGCTTGTTAGAGGATATCAGTGCGTGGGCTCACATGAGATAGAAGGGATCCATACACACTTTGAAAACTATGTTCACTTTAGGAAATATAATTTTGAAAATCATTTACATACTGCTAGAGGTCCACTGGGCCATTGCTGCAACATATTGAATGTACTTTGAAATGTCCTTCACATAAGATTGGTAAGATAATTTAGTATGTGCACACTTGAACTATATAGCCAGTATACAAATTGACAGTGAAGCTCTCTTTATACTAGTAAAGAATGGTCTTGAAGAGATATTGTAAAATGAAAAAAAAAAAAAAAAAAACCAAGTTGTAAAGCAATGTAGATTATCTTATCACCAAGGAAAAAAATGCACTATTATATACAAGCATGCAACATATCTCTGAAAGATTAATGAAAATCTATTATTATTAGCTCCTTCTGGGAAGAACCAGGTGAATGTAGAGGTTGAAGGACTGCTATACTCTTCACTCTTTAAACTCTTGAATTTTGTAAGGGAAATCTTTATTTTACCTATTCAGAAATAAAGGTGAAAATGTAAGAGATAACACATAATGATAACAATAAAAAAATGGTGAAATTGGCTATCAGATGATGAAATTGCTTGTTGCTTCTAGGAATTCTATCAGCCAGCCCAATGAGGGGTCTAAGACTAAGATCTGAGTACTAGAAATGCAAAAATTGAATCCTATTCTTGTTTTCCTTTGGCCTGGTTTCCAATTGTTTTGTATTTGTTTTGAGACTAAAGCATACACTTTTCTGTGGCCTTTGAAATCTCAGCTACAGTAGCCTCTACTTCCTTTCTCTGAATTCAAGTTTTAAGGTAAGAAGCATAAATTACCAAACATTAAGATTAAGCACTGATAACAGGGATCCTGCCAACCTTGTCAGTGCAGTGGTCTCCTTTGCAGTAGCCTCAGATAGAAAGGACAATGTGCCTTTCCAGAACCAAACTCCCTGATGGGGACATAGACTCCAGATACAGAGGCCTGGTGTTGACTTTCTTGGCCACAGGAATCTACAAGATCACTTACAGTAATGAGTGGCAGACAGCTAGGCCTGAATGAATGACATAATCTCTGTAGATGGCTGGCCACAGTGACCAGCCATAGGGTTAAATGGAAAGGAGAGAAACAATCAAGGAATAAATGCTATCTACCAGGAGGTTGAGAGGTAGCCCCGATAAAGTGTCACATCCATAGCCTTGATCTGAGCTAATTTCAGACCCTGAACTCAGCTGGAGTGGAGGGCACTCCAGGAAAGGACACTGCAACTCCAGGACCCAAATAAATGATAATGGTTTTCCAAGTTCTCCCCTAGGAAACCTCTCTGGAGCCATTTACTGATACCCATACTAGGGAAATACAAACACCAACATTTCAAGGACCCTTGGAATCTGGATCCAAGTTGCCCATGGTACTCAGATCATGGGAAGTCATCATAAAATACCTGTTAAAAATAGGAAGAAATTTCCAGGTTATAAATATGAATTCAGCCCACATGAACTTATTGCAATATAGCATTTGTTTTAAATAAAGGTAAGGTTTGCTTGAAGACAGATAATTTATTTTTCTGTCCATCCTCGGGAGTATGTTCAGACATAGGATGTGGCCAGCAGTTTTTATAAAAAAATACAGGATGATGCATGAATGATTATTTCAATTGGCAAAATCTCATGAACTTCCTGCAGAGATCAGTGTAATAAGTTGTTTGAATTCTCGACACTAGGTTAAGGTTCTGAGGTGATTTAAAGGCTATGAGGCTGTGTGCAGTGGCTCACGCCTCATAATCTCAGCAACTCTGGGCTGAGGCAAGGATCTTGAGGTCAGGAGTTTGAGACCAGCCTGACCAACATGATGAAACCCTGTCTGTACTAAAATACAAAAATTAATCTCAAGTGTGGTGGCACATGCCTGTAATCCCAGCTACACAGTAGGCAGAGGCAGGAGAATCATTTGAACCTGGGAGACAGAGGTTGCTGTGAGCCTAGATTGTGCTACTGTACCTTTGTAGCCTGGGCAACAGAACCTGGGGGTGATGAGTGAGGCTCTGTCTCAAAAAATAATATACAATACAATACAATACAATAATATAATACAATACAATAAAAGCTATGAGAAGAAAAGAAATTTTCCTGGTACAGTGTACTCGAACTCATGTCTTACAGTCTCTGTGAAATCCAGGCCAAGATGGAATTTTTTTCTGTGCTTTATGCAGTGACTCAGATAAATCTTATGAGCTCACACAAATCTGGGTAAACTCTGCCAGTATCACAGTCTCTATAAAACTGTATCAAAGAATTTTTCTCTGTGCTTTAGAGTGATTCACTCCAGATCTGTAAAGAATGAAGATAATTTTAGAGCTTCAATATCTGATATTTCACATCAGGTCAAATCTGATATTTCAAAATTGATAGATCTATTTCGGATAGCTTTGATGGTGTAATAAGAATCTCATTCAATGTTATCTAAGGACTATAGTTCAAGAAGACTAAGACACTATTCAATGGGGCAACATTAAGAACACCTTATACAATTCACTCATCCTTCCTTTCTGGAGCATACTTGACATGTTTCAATGATTTTGTGAGACATTCTAGTGAATCCTATCTTGACAGCAAAGGGGACTCAAGAGACCCCAAGGCCATCCTCAGGATCAATGACTCTTTAGAAGACATGGAACTCAGATATACATCCCATCAGTACCTAATTTACTGAGAGTTTTTAGCACAAGGGCTGTTAACTTGTCAAAGGCCTTTCTGCATCTATTGAGATAATCAGGTGGTTTTAGGGGCTCTCAGCTCTGTTTATGCTGGATTACATTTATTGATTTGCATATGTTGAACCAGTCTTTTATCCTGAGGCATGAAGCCCACTTGATTGTGGTATAAGTTTCTTTACGTGCTGCTGATCTGGCTTGCCAGTATCTTATTGAGGATATTCACATCAATGTTCATTAGATATTGTCTAAAATTTTCTTTTTTTATTGTATCTCTGCCAGAATGGTATCAGGATGATGCTGGCTTCATAAATGAGTTAGGGAGGATTCTCTTTTTTGCTGATTGAATCTACAGCCAATATGATACTGAATGGGCAAAAACCAGAAGAATTCCTTAAAATCTGGCACAAGATAGGATGCCTTCACAACTCCTATTCAACATAGTGTCAGTTCTGGTCAGGCAATCAGGAGGAGAAAGAAATAAACGGTATTCAATTAAGAAAAGAGGAAGTCAGATTGTCTCTGTTTGCAGATAACATGATTGTATATTTAGAAAATTCCACATCTCAGCCCAAAATCTCCTTAAGCTGATAAACAATCTCCAGCAAATCCTCAGATATATAAAATCAATGTGCAGAAATCACAAGCATTCTTCTG